TCTTTACCAACAATTTAGTTCTGTTCTTAATCTCCAATAAAGATAATGTAGATGATATTATTAGAAAAAGACATTGGAGATTTGAAGTAGCTTATTAACCATTCAAGATTGGTCTACATCACTTAATTTTTCAAGAATTAATCCTGAGAAATATTGGATCATAGTGGAAGGTATTCCAATTCGTGTATGGAATTTTGAGGTCTTCAAAAGTATTGGTAATTGTTGTGATTGAAATGGACTAGAATTTTGTGATTAGGAATAAGGTGGGGATTATCCATATTAAAATTTAAAAACGCTCTGGGAAAAATATTCCTCACAATTTTATTTTGAAAGCAAAGAATATGGAATTCATGATTAATATAAAAATTGAGGATCATCTAGGAAAGGTTGAATCCAAAAGAGGTGGATCTGAAAACAAGATGCAAGGGAAATGTGATCTAGTAGGTAGTTGTTCTAATGCGCAAAGTGATTTTTGACCATTAATGTTGCAGAACAAACTTTAAGTGTAGAAGAAAGGTGATAGATCTATCGTATCCCATAATCACACATGGAGGATGTGGAAGTTTCGAGATAAATTTCAAAATGCTAATATGGGCAGCAAAATAGTATGACTTGTTAAAGAAAATGTGATTAGAAATGATGATGATTTGGATAATCGAAGGGCTAGGATTAAAGGTAAGGAGGTGTTACATGATGAGAATGTCGAAAAAGAGTGTTCTGAAGTTGAAAAAGCTTCCAATTGATTGTCTCATCTCGAGATGTATAGATATTAAAGACAAAAAAGAATTTATAGTCCTCAAAATGATGCATCCTGTAACAAATTATTTGGACTGCTTATTTTCAAGAATTCAAAGCATTTACAGTTCCGGCTCAATCTGTACAGTTTTTGAAATTTTAGATTTCATAATTCTGATTGAACATGGATTTTCATGCCATTGTAAGTTTTCTGATATTGCAATTACATTTTCTAACAAAATTTAGACATGCGCCTTACTTGAATGATATAGGGAAATCATCAAAAATATATATTTTTTTAGATTATTGGAAATAAACCTTAAAATTTTCAAAACCTCCTTTACACCCATTTTTACTATTGTTTGTATGTTTTTTTTTTGGTGAAAATACCTTCATAATAAATAGTCGTAGGTCTGTGAAGGCATCACGGCTAACCCAGAACCGTGATAGTCATAGCAGGCTTTAAGTAACTCTATATTGGATTTAAAGGTAGAACTGTATTTGAAGCATCATGGCACTTAAAGCACCGTGATGAGAGTTTAACTATCACAATTATAATTGTATTACCGTGGTGTGAGATCTGTGATAGTCAAGGGGATCATCACGGTTATTTAAGTATCATGATGGTTCTAATGTTACCCCATCACTACAGTTCTAATAGAACCTTGATAAATTAATCCCTACACTAACATCGTTTGAACCGTCCAAGACCATCATGGTTCTGGGTTAGCTGTGATACCTTCACGGACTTAACACTTCCATAAAAGGTATTTGAGTAAAAAAAAAATACAATGAGTGATGAAAGGGGGTATATGGATGAATTTTAGAAAATTTGGGATTTATTTTTAATAACCTAAAAAAAGATATTCTTTATAATTTCTCTCAAACAAGGTGAGCACCTTATACAAATCTCACCCATTAAACAATTGTCTTCAGGCGCATGTTATTAAAGATTATGATATAGACTTGGAAGCGTAAGGTGGAGAGGGTTTTTGCTCTTGGGAGCATTTCGTCCTAATTCTCTGAATTTTTTGGAGTAAAACTCAATCTAAGATTGATTCTATAAGATTACCTTAGGCCGAGATGTAACTTTTTCAAATTAGAGAACACCTTTGAAAAAATTAAAGAAAAACTTAAATGACTCATGAGTGTTAGTAAAAAAAAGTATTATTGGATGGGTTACATTAGAGTTTTATTGTACATTGAGTATTTCCTTAATATACGCAACAATTTTATACATTTATTAGCTTTGTTTTGTAATAAAAGTTTTTTGAGCAATAACATTTTTGGTCATTAGGAGGAGTAGAATAGATACTTCTACAAGAAACTAGTGGTAATTAATGTTGTGTTTGGGTCATCACCCCTCATATACATAATGTCAATCTTCATTATAGTTCATAAATGTTTTTCTTTTTAGGGAAAAAGTTTAAATAAGGATGAAATCATAAACAATCACATTAAGGCGCACCTCAAAAATTCACTAAAAGATGTCGTTTTGATGCCCAAAACTCTTCAAAGCGATCATCTTGACCTCAAGATGTATGGGCACAAGAAACAATGGATTTCAAGTCTTGGAAATAATGCATCTTGTAATGTATTTTTCAATATTTTAGATTTTCAAATGTTCATAAATCTGTCCTATGTACACTATCTTTGAAATTTTAAATTTTATAACTAGGGATGAAAATAAATTCAACCCATTACTAAGATTTCTAGTAGGGAAATCTTATCTTTCGATACTTTTTTAAGGTGCGTCTTACGTTGATTATTTAGAACCTCAGCTTTATAGAAACCATACCCTTCTTTTTATCAAGAGTTTCTAGTTTATCTTTGATTAATTATTTAAAATACCTCTAGATAAAAAATTTACTACATTATAGACTAAGAGTATTAAGTGTCCAAAAATGCTGAGTATATTAAAGATCTACTTCATGTGTAGAAATACCCCAACATAACCCAATAGAGAAATGTACAATATGCTAAAGAAGAGAATTATTATGTAAAGAAATTCAAGGGCATAATCAGAATTTGTAGTAAAATAGTTATAGTCAACTATCAACTTTTACCTCATAAAATCGAGGGACGTCTATCCAAATACAACTAAATTTACATAATTTAACAGTTTACTCCTTTTCCATATATTCCAACTCAACTCAGGTCCATGTGTACTTTGATGGGTATTTTGAAATTAAACTAAAAGATATTGGTAAAATGTTAAGTACTTGTTTTGTATTTTGAAAAAAAATTGGTATAAATACTTGATCCCTTATTTGTATTTTGAAAACTTTTTCTAAAATCTTATTGATATTTCCAAATAAAAACCTTTGATAGCCTTCAGTAATTCTAATTTTGACTATTTTAATGTAGCAAAATAAGAAAGTGAAAGCCACAAAATGGAGCCGTTGAGCCTAAGCCACAAAATGGAGCCATTGAGCCTAAGCCACAAAATGGAGCCGTTGAGCCTAGACTAACCAAATAATTTGAGGTAAATACACACTTATTAGGCAGTTCATCAAACAATTTTAGAACAAATAACAATATATCCACCATAAGTCAGTTTCTCCTATCTAATGAATTATTTTCAAATATAACTATTAATATTTTGATATGCCAGATGAATTATTTATCAAATATAATTATTAATATTTGATAAGCAAATGCCTATCACAACGGCTACTCTCCATGGCAACCTTGTGTTCATGTAGCAATGGGTCCGGCTTGGGTTGGCCTGAGCCCCACCTGTGATTCTAGAAGTCTGGCCTGGCCCGACCTATTAATAGCTCAAGCCTAGTGGTGCTCTAAGTTTCTATTTCTTAAATTCATTGAGAAACGGGAAAAGTAACAAGATGGGGTTGAGGCTGGGCCATGGCTCTTGGCGTAGGTCCCATTCGAACATGACCAATGTTTCAAAATTCAGATCGGTGGGTCGGATCGTTCACCCAAGATCTGTGGTGTGGTGGATCACTAGATCAGCAATCCAAGCCAGGTTTTGATCGGGACGAATTGGTAATCTAAAAAATATTAAAAATAAAGAAAATAAATTTAAAATTAAAAGAGAGGTTTTAATGAAATAAAATGGGAATAGTAATCAGAAATGCTAGTTTTAGACTTGGGATTGTATACAATAAAACCATTTACTTTTGATACAAAGAGGTCACAATTACTTATAATCATCCGATATGAAATCTGATGAACATATAGCTTTCATAAAATTCAAAAAAATTTCTTATAAAGTTTGAGCTTGGTCAATAGAATAAATGCAGCAATCCAATTTCACATCCAACACTCGAGATTAATTGTGACAACCTTATATATACAAAAGGTAAATAATTTCATTATATACTTTTCTTTTAATCACTTAATCAAAAGTGGTGGGGTAATTGAATGGATGGTCCAAATCCTTTTTTTTTTGTTTTTTAAGAAGAAGAAAGATAATAATTTTTTGGAGTGGAGAAGACTAATTTTGATTCACCAAGCTTCCCTAAGGCCTTTTATAATACATATTGAAAAGGAAAAGCATTTGTTGAGTCGACCAACTCACTATTTTTGTGCAGTTTCCCTAGAAATATGTTTTAAAGATGTATTTTTTATCCAAACTTTTAGAGTTCAATAATTTCAACTATGACAATGATTTAAATTTCAATTTTTTTTTCAAAAAATATAAATGTTAGTTTTTTAATTTCTTTATGAGAAAAGATCCTATAAGACCCTGCCCCATCTATATTTGTAGGACCTCAAAAGATCATCATTAAATTTGACACGAATTTATAAAAAGGTCAAGTATCACATCCATGTAATAACTTTTTTAGAGATCCGTACCAATTTTAATAATAATCATTTAGAATCTTGTACATGAGTGGAAGAGGATCTTATAGGATCATTGCTCTTTCTTTATTCACCGTCCATTTTAACTTTTGGTAGCTACATTTTAACTTTTGGTACCTACTCTTTCTTTATTCACCATCCATTTTAACTTTTAGTAGATATAATGTCGTCTTAGAGATGGACGTTAGATAGACAAGGAACCGCATGGTAATAGATGTGTCGGCTGACTCATCAAAAACCGTGCCCGAAATGAAAATAGTATTCCTCAACTGCAAGGGTGTTTTCGGTACTTCATAAGCTTTAAGGGTGTTTTCGTCATTTAGGTGGATGATCCGGGGTATTTCAGTCATTTAATTTCTTGTGACGGTTGGTCCCCTTTGGAGCGGCACTGGAGCGTTTACAGGCGTCAAAAAAAATCCACAAATTTGAAAAGATGAATACTCAACGGCTACTTGTCATGAAATTACTCTCTCTCATCGTTTTCTCTCTAATCACTCTCTGTACTTCTCTCATCGCTCTCTCTCTCTAGAAAGTAGAAACCTTTCTGAATGTTAAAACCCTACTTCCATATAAGCTTATGCTTCTCTGAGATCCTAATCTATTGAGCCCTTCTTCAAGACTTTTAACTCAATGCCCTAATTCTTCACATCTTTTTGCAACACAAGAACCTTAATTTTGCAAATCTTTTTGCAATTTCATATATCTAAGTCTGCAAATCAAAACAATTGTTCCACAAGCCTCTCTGAAACTCAAAACCCTAGTTACTGTAAATGGCGATGGTCACGGCCACTCAGACTGGAGCTTCAACCCCTTCAACCCCTCTTCATCGTCGAATGGTACGGATCATTGGGAAAATTGGTGATTCTCTTGCACCAGAGAAAGAAACCCTAAATGGGCAACAAATGCCTTTCATCTCAGTCATTGATGATTCTATAGTTCGACTCCGAGATCAAGAAACAGGGTATGTTATTCTTCTTGTTCATCAGAATACGTACTCTATCAATGGGTTTTTTTTTTAATGGTCTTTTCTTACTATTTCATTTATGAACAGTCGTGATGAATCTCATAAACTGGATTTCTGCTATGGTCAAGAGGATGATATTAGTAAAATTTTCTCTAAGGAGATTGATCCTTTAATTCCTGGGCTTTTTCGGGGGCTTAATTCTACTGTTTTCTCATATGGGTCAAGCAACAGCGGGAAGACATGTACGATGCAGGTATTCTCCGAATTTCACAAGGATTTAGAAATCTTTTTCATGATAATATTCATATTTTATCTTTCCCTGTTAAAAATAGGTAGTCAATACACCACAATTTGGATGCTCTCTCTCTCTCTCTCTCACACACACACACATATTTACTAGTATTTTCTGATTTTAACTGAACATCTATTATTTCCTCAGGGTACTAATGACAAACCAGGTCTAGTGATGATGGCCATGAACAAAATTCTGTCTATGAGTGATCAAACTGGAAGTTTGGTGAAGATCTCATGTTATGAAGTATGTTTAGATCATTGCTATGACCTTCTAGAGCCGAAAGAGAATGAGGTAGCAGTGCTAGAAGATAAAGATGGCCAAATCACACTGAGGGGCCTTGCTCAGGTTCATTAAATTCAACCACAAATATAGGTTGTATGCTTTCAAATTGCCGAAGTGAATGCCTTAATTTTGATATTGTATTCTATCTTGGATTATTTAACACAGATTTCAGTAAAGTCAATATCGGAGTTTCTTGAGATTTTTTCTCGAAGGTCTCAACAGATCAAAAGAGTGTCCAATGGATTGAATAAGCGCCATAGAGGATTGATAATATGGGTTTCCACCTCTGATAATTTCTCTAATGCTTCTCTCCTCGGAAAGATGAATCTCGTAGATTTAGCAGGTATGCACCCTTCTTCTCATAGTCATCGGAATTTTTGTATCATTAGATTTCAGACCCATAGCATTGCTTCTCCTTTATTTTGTTTAACTCACAAAGATCAATTTTATTGTTAATGTTATTTGGATTTTGAGTTACCCAGCTGAGTTTCATATTACTCAATTACATAATCCATGGAAATTCTTTCCTTCTTTTTTCCAACTAGAAAACAGAAAATTCTTATCATTATTTATTTGGGTCCATGTAGAATGACTTGTTTTTTATTGGTTTAATAATATCATCAGGAAATGAAGACCACAGACGTGTGAGCACCGACAACTCATGTGTTAACGAAAGCGTTAGGATTAACAAGTCTCTATTTGCTTTACTTAATGCTGTCCTTGCATTGAATGCCAATGAGAGCCGGGTGCCATATAGAGAGAGCAAACTGACACGAATCCTACAAGACTCACTTGGTGGAACAAGCCGAGCTTTGATGATCGCTCACCTGGTAAAGATATCAAAAGTTTTGTCTTTAGTGTTGATGGTTGTAATTTTTGTTTTAACACCCAGCCTCTTCTCCTCTTCTTAGAATTATGGCTTGATAATTCACCTCATTATGCACTGGTACTCACATACATAACCGATGGTTTAGAAGTGATTTACTTCGAGTAGCATTACTTAATGACATGACTGAATTTTCCTTTTTACATTTTAAAATTATTCACTTACATGCATTTTATTAAACATCTGTAAGCTACTGTTTGAGAGTGGTTTGCTTTACATGAGAAATGTGCAATCAATGCAAAGACTGAATCCTCCTTTATTATGATATTTAATAGCTATAGCTGGATTGGATGGCCCAGCTGAGAATTGAGATTATTCTACCTCAAAAAACCTTGTTTCTTTCATATATTTTTCTTTTGTTTATTGAAAGTCAGCATCAGTTTGATTTTTCAACACCAAATTGATCCTACCCTCTTTCTAAGAGTGATTAAGCATATCCATTATCTTGATGAAATTTCATGCTTGCTAGTAATGTTAAAATTATGGAAGTATCCTTAATTTCTTAAACCACCCAAAATACAAAATTTTCATGCATCATATGACATCAATATTTCTTTTTATTATTCTTTGATGACTTCTTGTTCTCTGCGGTCAATTTATATTTTCATTTTTCTGGCTGGTCTTTCTTTTTAGTTTTGACTTACAGCTTCATGTGCACATCACCAAATTCCACTCAACTATTCATTAGCTCATGCTATATATGTTTCTTTTTCTCCTTTTCTTATTTTTGAAATTATAGGATCCATTGTCATACCAAGAATCGGCATACACTGTCAACATGGTTACCCGGCTTTGCCGAACTGGTCGGACTTCTTGCAGTTATAAGAAAGATACACCAAGGCCAAAATTGGAGATGAGGAAACATCAGAATGCCTTGCTTGACACTACAAATAGGTTTAAGGACATTAAGAAATGTGCTCCATCACCCTCTCCTCTTGCCCGCAAGTCACATACATTATTTTCTCCTACAATGAAACCCAAGAACTCTGGATTGCATTCTAAAGGGAGGGCTCCTGGTGATCCGGTTATTGCCATGAAAAAAAGGTAGATTCCTTAATAGTTCATATTCCTTGTTTTTTGTCATCTCCATTGTCCTTATAACCCTGTAGATTGTGAAAAGACTGGTATTTTGTTGTGTAATCTCGACCATGATGGAGAGTGGAACTCACCACAACATGACATGATCCCAATTTTGGGTCCCTCCCTCTACACCAGCATACATCCATTCATTGCAATATGAGGACCTCAATGTACAATGGCTTTTACATAGTTCAGGGGATTATAGTATACTTTCCCACACGCACGCAAATTTCTTTTCACTAAAATTTTTTCTTTGTTTATAGGGAGTCATCTGATGCTGTAACTACCACTGTCTATACCATGGAGGTAATGGAATGCTTAAGTTTTCTGGATTTCTCTCTTTCTTTCATTATTAAATGACTTCCACAAGCATTTCTAATGTAATGTTTAGCGATTATAGTAAAACTATTGTTACCAAAGCTCTGTATTAGCAACTTTTCTCCTTCTAAAACCCTATTAGAATTATGTGCAGGAGATTTGCTCTTCAGATGTTCTAGTCACTGAAAAGCAATGCATTTTGGAAGAGGTATACTTGGATTACTTTGTTTTTTTATTGGGAAAATATCTCCATATCCCCTATTTTTAGGTTTCATTTCTTCATAAACCCAAGGTTTCAAAAGATATCTTCTAACCCCTAGCCACTTTTAAACTATTTTTTAACCTAAACAAATGTGAGAAAGACATGCTCTTTCTAAACCCCATCTTTTCTCTCTCTTCACTTATATACCCCAAATTTCACTCTTTCTCTCTCTTCCCACATCTCTCACTCTCTCTCTCCTCCTATGTTTCTCCAAACACCTCTCTCTCTCCTCTTGGTAACCTCTCACCTCCAGAAAGCCCTTCTCTCTCTAGAAGTTGGGGAGGATGGCTTTAGAAAAGGCATGTTTGTTTGGCCTAAAAAAACAAGTTTAAATTAGCTCAGCAGGTTAGAAGAAATAAAATCTACAATTTTTATGCCCCAATATATCTTTTAAAACTTTGGATTTATTGTGAAATGAAACCTGAAAATAGGGGGTATGGAGATATTTTCCCTTTTTTATTTATAGTTAACCAATAAATAAATCGTTTTCTCCATAATAATTTTATTTATGGTTAACCAAAAAAAATATAAGAAACCACTTATTTCATAATGATATACTTGTATTACGCAAGGAGTTTTTTAATCTTCCATTCTTCTCATCCTTAGGATACACACAAACAAAATGAAGATGGTGTTATCCTTCAAAACAACAATGGTGCTAATCAAGTTACTAACAGTACGCATACTCAAAATGACAACGATATTAAAGAAATTATAGATGGTATCCAGGATGTACAACTTCTTTCTCAATCTGAAGGTGAGGGCTATTATTCATTTCTTGTTTTCCTGCTCCTTTTGCAAGGATGCTAGAATATGCCTGAATTCATAGATTTATTTTAAATCTTGACATTTGAAAATATTTTTTCCAGATTTTCCTCATGGTTCCTCTCCGCCCATAAGTGCAAGAATCAGAGCAATAAGAGATTCCTTGAATGCTCTGACAAATTCTCCGATTCCCTTCAACCCAAAAACACCTGATAGGCCTGGAGATCAAACATGCAAAGATATTTTAGATTTGAAAACTCCAGAGATATCCTCCGATATGAAATTTCATAATAATGCAGTGAAGCTTGGCACTTTTACTCCACTTGGCACTATTACTCCACTTGACATGTTCAATGCCCATAGCTCTGGATTAAAGGTGCTGACCATTGTCATTTACTTCTAAAAGTGCTCATTTTACTAATAATGTGTAAATGGATAATTTGATTAACAAATCTCTTCTTTTTGTGCATGTCCAGGTGTCTTTAGTTCAGCAATACTTGGCTTTGTTGAACACTGGCAGCAAGTAAGTCAATAAAAAATTGAAAATTTTAAACATTTAGTGGTAAAGTAGTTTATCCATGAGCATACAACTTGCATTGAAATCATTCAATCATTTGTGAGTCATGGTTTTGTTCATATACATGCACAAAGTCCTGGTAGAATTATAGTTATCCTTATTTGATTATGAGGGATTATACTATGCTCACTATGGAGCACACTATTATTATGTAGTGTTGTATATTGGAGACTATACACCAATGAAGGATTATAGTTATCCTTATTTGATTATGAGGGATTATACTATGCTCACTATGGAGCACACTATTATTATGTAGTGTTGTATATTGGAGACTATACACCAATGAAGGCATTTAGTCATCGACAGTACTGTGCTGATGAGCTCTCCCCAATAGTCCAGACTCCACCATCCAAATCTTGTTGAGTAACGTGTTGGAAGGTGGATGCTCACTATACAGCATTCTACACTGTCCTTTTTAAGGATGATAGGGCCTTGCTTTTGCATTTTGATATTTCTAGATACTTTGTATGAAGAGATATCCATGTCTAATTTATGAACTCATACAAGAAATAGCAGAAAAACTAGGCACCTAAAGTAGTTTATCCATGAGCATACAACTTGCATTGAATCATTCAATCATTTGTGAGTCATGGTTTTATTCTTATACATGCACAAAGTCCTAGTAGAATTATAGTTATCCTTACTTGATTATGAGGAATTATACTATGCTCACTATGGAGCACAATATTATTATCTAGTGTTGTATATTGGAGACTATAGACCAATGAAGGCATTTAGTCATCGACGGTACTGTGCTGATGAGCTCTCCCCAATAGTCCAGACTCCACCACCCAAATCTTGTTGAGTAATGTGTTGGAAGGTGGATGCTCATTATACAGCATTCTACACTGTCCTTTTTAAGGATGACAGGGCCTTCTTTTTGCATTTTGATATTTCTAAACAACTTATTTGAAGAGATATCCATGTCTAATTTATGAACTCATACAAGAAATAAGCAGAAACACTAGGCACCTACAGAAGGATTCCATGAATAGAGGACTGGTATAAAAATCTACATGCTATATCGATAAGATCACATAGAACAGTTGACCTAGGCGCTTCTACATACATGCATGTGGGTGTGCAGAAGGCCAGTCGTGGGCACACACACATGCATGCACAAGCAAACACATACGCACCACACAAATAGAGAAAAAAATTGTCAAAGGTCTTCTATATATATATACGTTAAGTAGTTGAATGCAAGATGTACAGTATACTTGGGATTGGGTACATGATGAAATTGTTTAGAATGACTACAAATTTTATTAATTGATTGATTAGTGGACTGGTGATTTTTCATGCCAGCTAGCAATGCATGCCAACTAGCAATGCAACTATACTTTTTTTTTTGCTAGCTAGAAATGCAATTTTTATTTTATGCCAGCTAACATTGCCTATTGGCTATAAACAAAGGGATCCATGCTTTAAAGAGTATGTATAGTCCTAGACCTGGTTCATAACTCTTTAAGTTTAAGAGCAAGATCCCTAAAAGGTTGGGATCGAGATCCCAAAAGGTCGGGATCGAAATCCTAAAAAGGTTGGAATCGAGATCCTTAACGTTAGATATCTCGATCCCCAACATATGCAAGGACAATGCTCCCAACCATATGGATCTTCTGGCCTTTCATGATCCCTCTATTCCCTATCCGTATCCCTCTCTTGTACCAACAACTATTGTGCTAATTTAAGGACAATCAATCGGATGCATGATTTTCTTTTTAATTCATTTAAAGCATTTGATGTATGGAAGTTAAATGAATCATTTCAATCTTACGTTTGCCTACTTTTGTTGTCTTATGCAGAGAGGAATTGATGAAACTCAAGGTAATCTCTCTCTCTCTCTCTCTCTCTCTATAGATATCATTGTTGTT